TATCCGAAAAAAAAAAAAAAAAAAAAATGTAAATAAAAAAATAAAGCTAAATATAAATGTATACAAATAAAAAATTATTAAATTATTAAAACTATTAAATATTTGAAAAATAATATTTTATGTCTGCAATCTGGTTACCGACCTGCTGCTGATCCCCTCCTTTCTTGCTGTGGTTCTGGATGAAATCTACCAGGCCATGAACGACGGTCCGCACCGCTTCCAGCCCTTTGGCTAGCTGCTCCCATGTGGGCGCAGGGGCATCTGTTAGTACAAAAAACAGGTGTGAACATTCAGACATTTATGTTGTTATAAATGGCTGTATTGACAAATGTGTGAATGGAGCAGGCTGACGGACCTGGGCTGGGGTCGATGTCGGCCAGCAGCTCCAGATGGGGTCTGAGGCGGTTGAGATTGGCTGGATCTCCGGTTCTCTGAAGGGCGATGGTGAGTTCCTGCACACTCTGAGCAAAGGATGCTGGTGTCTGCAACTGAAACACACAAAGCCACATAACCACATACTTCACATACCAGCAAGCAAAGTCAACATGTTTTCATGCATGATGTGACGTTCGCTACACCCTAAATGCGTTCTCTACACAGGGAGGAGTGTTACTAGAGAATTTAAATGCGTAACACTTGGCCATACAATATATATAATTTTTTTTTGCAGACCTGCCTTAAAAAAAAAACTACAGCGCCACCTAGTGAAATCTTAAAATAATACCCAGGAAACAATCTGAACAGGATATGTTTGGAAAATTTAAGATGTAATTACCTAAAAGGCTCTTTGAACCATAATTTTTTTTCTTGCAATTTATAAAAAAAAAAGCTGTTTTTACATATTATAATTATACACATCCTCATCATACCTTGTCTATGATAGACTGCATGTGAGATTTGTGCGACTGGTCGCCGTACAGTAGAGATGACCACTGGTCAGGGGCGATACGCAGTCCGCCTTCCATCGCGATCTGAACTATCTGAGAGTCGTGTTCCCTCCGAAGAGCCTCATACGTGCGAAACTCCTCCTTCAGCTGCATTAAGGAGGAATCCTCGTCACGCTTGGTCACCTGAGATTAAAACAAATAAAATGTTATATATTTAATATAAATAAATACAAAATGTATACTTAAAAAAAAATAAAAAATAAAAATCTCTATTACTAATACTGTATCCCCCGGTTTCACAGACAAGGCCTAGTCCCAGACTAAAATGTAAGTCTGAGCGGTTTCAACTGAAAGAAACTTGCACTGACTGATGTTGATATTTTTTCTAAGGCATGTTAATAAAAATTACTTAAATGTCCTAATTGAACTATGGCCTAATCCTGGCTTAGTCTAAGCCCCGTCCGTGAAACCAGGCCTATATGTTTAAAAAATATTTTAAATCTAAAACAGATCTATTTAATATATTTTAAATCTAAACATTTTAAATCAGCTGACATGAAATCTAATTAGTAATTTTACTAATTTAATATAAATACAAATTAAATATAATTTTTTTAATTGTATATTTTATAAAATATATTTATATTATATAATATTTTATTATATAACAGTTTTAGATATGTTGAGGTTATAACAAAAATGCTATGCAATAAAATTGTATACTTCCATGTTACATTTTTATTTATATGACTTATACATTATATACGATATACATACATATATATATATATATATATATAAATAAATAAATATAAAGGAACAGTAAAGGCACCTTAAAGCAGGAGGCCCTGTAAAGGAGCTGCACCACGTGTCCTATGCTGGTTTTTGAGGCCTGGGGAAAACGTGGTTCGAGTCTCTGGACCACAAACAGGACCAGAACCTTCCGTGAGAGGGCCGAACCATCTTCCAGAGCGAGCAGGACCAGCTTCAATGCTTCTTCCTGCATAGCTGTTGGGTGAAACCCAATTTTTGTTAGTGCCCCCAAATTACTTTATCAGCCTGCTATCATGGTATAGTGGTAAAATCTTACCAGGGCCGAGAAACTGGCAGCCTCTGGCTCTGACGGCGGCCCACAGGTTGGAGGAGAGCTGCTGGGGGTTCTGGTGCTGGAGGATGAGCTCAGTGACAGTACGTTCACCCAGAGAGCGGGCTGCCCGCATGGCCCGGATGCGGCCCTCCTCCTCCATCAGCTGGCAGTGCACCAGAGTCACCAGCTTCCTCTGCATGGGTCTGCTGAGAACACTTTGAGCAGCACCATTCAGCCCTGCACCTGCACGGATCAACACCAACAAAAAACAAATGTTAACTGAGCCTTTTCAGGATCAGGATTACTGATTTTCCTGAAGGATTATGAAACACTTAAAAACCATGTTAAAAAGCATATGCTAAGGATGATAAATATGGTGAATTGTTAGGTGTCCAAACAATAAAAAACAAATTAATAAATAAAAATAAAATAAAATACATTAAATAAAGTAAATATCTTAAATATAAATACAATATTATATAAAAAAATATTGCAATCGCAATCCAATTATGACATCTTGATGCATTTGTTGACGTAAATGATTAATCATTTAAAAAAAAAAAAAATAAATAAAAAAAAAACCCATGCTAACTTGTACTGAATAAATGACCAAAAAGGGTAATGTAAAATGGCAGGGACCTCTGGTGTTGCTCAGGGGTTTGAGATAGAGGGCCAGGTCCTCCACACATGTGCGAGACTCCTCATAGTGCTTAACGTCCTCTGCAGCTGTCAGTAAAGTGACGGGGGGAGGTTTGGGTACCTGAAGGACAAAGCATAACATTTGTCTGTCACCACACCAAAGATAGTTCTCGTCTACAGGGCTTTGATGGCATTCTTCACATAATAGGTCATCTGATGGGGCTGTCAGCATTCCTCTACATGTAGAACATGTTCACACCCACAGACCAGGCAACAACTCTCATAAAAACACGTGATTTAAAAATTAATAAATAAAAATAAAATACATTAAATAAAGTAAATATCTTAAATATAAATACAATATTATATAAAAAAAAATATTGCAATCGCAATCCAATTATGACATCTTGATGCATTTGTTGACGTAAATGATTAATCATTTAAAAAAAAAAAAAATAAATAAAAAAAAAACCCATGCTAACTTGTACTGAATAAATGACCAAAAAGGGTAATGTAAAATGGCAGGGACCTCTGGTGTTGCTCAGGGGTTTGAGATAGAGGGCCAGGTCCTCCACACATGTGCGAGACTCCTCATAGTGCTTAACGTCCTCTGCAGCTGTCAGTAAAGTGACGGGGGGAGGTTTGGGTACCTGAAGGACAAAGCATAACATTTGTCTGTCACCACACCAAAGATAGTTCTCGTCTACAGGGCTTTGATGGCATTCTTCACATAATAGGTCATCTGATGGGGCTGTCAGCATTCCTCTACATGTAGAACATGTTCACACCCACAGACCAGGCAACAACTCTCATAAAAACACGTGATTTAAAAACAGAGAGAGGAACGATCGTTTTGGCCACAAAAGGTCCCATCATTTGGGCTGTCGTGACTGTGAGGTTTGGCTGATTCACGGTTACATAAATAACTGCATTTCTGAGAATAGACTGAAGCTTTAGGACTGACACTTTAAAATGGTAGAATGATTTTCAATTATATATTATTATTACATCAGAATCAGATACACTACTCTTACTACTTTTATTCAGCAAGAATTACATTGATCAAAAGTGACAGTAAAGACATTTGAAAATGAACACAAATGTTGCACTGGGCAGAACAACATGAATTTCTAAATATTAAAATATGAAGAAATTTAAAATATTTCTCCTTTTGGTCCACTTTGTGATTGCCAAGTCTGCTTTACATTCACACAATTTTTGGGAATCCATCCCAACTGAATAATACATAGTAAGAAATATTTTCCAATAGGAATACATTTCTGCACTAATTTCTGTTTTTGGTTTCATTTTAAAGGTGGTCACTCATGTATGAATAAAGACATTTGATTTTCTGAATATAGATAACAGTTTTTAAACAGGCAGTTCATCTTGCATGTTTAACATGGTTATCTTTACCTCATTTGCTTTGTGTGAAAACCTGCATGGACCCACGCCATCTGCAGTTTTGCAAATGTGAAACCGTGGCCTTTTTGTATTTGCTTAATTACCTTATTTAAATGGAGCGCCCAATGGAGCGCACTATGACTGTGGTCATCTGAATTAATCGTTACTAGACGATTATGTAATAGTTAATTAATTAAGGTAATTAATTACCTTATTTAAATGGAGCGCACTATGACTGTGGTCATCTGAATTAATCGTTACTAGACGATTATGTAATAGTTGCGACAGTCATACCTATCACCGCATGTGCAGAATGAAGAAGTATTTTTACAGACAACGCTGGCAATGACTGGCTGATGTTGATTCAACTTCCTGGTTCTCCACTGGCTGTGAGTGAGGAAGCAGAGTGTTTTACAGCCTCATGTCATACAGTCACACGCTTCTGTGTCACATCAGGCCTGAAATCCAACCAGACCGGAGCGATTGCAAGCTGATCTTCAGAAACTTGACACCCTGAGCTCCACCTCTCCATGCTGTACGTGACATGTTCTGTTCATCCTCTTGATTCAGAAACAAGTGGATGCAATAAACACTGTAATAAACACGCTCCACCTAAAGTACAACTGCTGTGTTGTCTGCACGATCACTGCGGTCTGGTCTTTTTAGCAGTTTGCCCCACGTTCCGATTGTTAGCAAGGTCATTTGAAAAGGAAAAAAAAAAAGTGCATTTTGTTTGAGTTTCAAGGAACCACAGTAGTTTTACTTCCTTATCCATACTTGGATTGAGGCTAGGGTAGGGGCCACAACTTCATCCATATAAGAGAAGTCAAAAATAAATGTGTTCGGTACAGATTGAACCGGTGTGCACTGGACCATCATATGCGCTCATGTTTACGGTTTCTAAAATAACATTCAAATAATGTTTTGTTAACGAAAATAGGTGAAATCCAGTAGTTTCAATAGGAACACACGCAATTGGGAGTTTCATGTTAAGACTGAATGCAGATTTTTTTCACAGTTGATCATGCAAATTCGCCACACTGACTAATAGAAACCTGCCTAGTTTGAAAGTGACTTCTTTGTGAACTGTGCCTTATATACAGTGGGTATAGAAAAGAATCACCCCCCCTTTAAAATAATCACATTTTGTTGCTTTGCAGCCTGAAATGAAGACGGACACGGTTTTTGTTTCATTCAGCGCTTATAGTGCAGACGCGATGTGGTGATTTGAAGCCATTTGCGCATTTTGCGAGAGAGCGCAGTGATTCACGCTGTTTGTGAAATGACGAAGCAGAGTGTTTTACAGCCTCATGTCATACAGTCACACGCTTCTGTGTCACATCAGGCCTGAAATCCAACCAGACCGGAGCGATTGCAAGCTGATCTTCAGAAACTTGACACCCTGAGCTCCACCTCTCCATGCTGTACGTGACATGTTCTGTTCATCCTCTTGATTCAGAAACAAGTGGATGCAATAAACACTGTAATAAACACGCTCCACCTAAAGTACAACTGCTGTGTTGTCTGCACGATCACTGCGGTCTGGTCTTTTTAGCAGTTTGCCCCACGTTCCGATTGTTAGCAAGGTCATTTGAAAAGGAAAAAAAAAAAAGTGCATTTTGTTTGAGTTTCAAGGAACCACAGTAGTTTTACTTCCTTATCCATACTTGGATTGAGGCTAGGGTAGGGGCCACAACTTCATCCATATAAGAGAAGTCAAAAATAAATGTGTTCGGTACAGATTGAACCGGTGTGCACTGGACCATCATATGCGCTCATGTTTACGGTTTCTAAAATAACATTCAAATAATGTTTTGTTAACGAAAATAGGTGAAATCCAGTAGTTTCAATAGGAACACACGCAATTGGGAGTTTCATGTTAAGACTGAATGCAGATTTTTTTCACAGTTGATCATGCAAATTCGCCACACTGACTAATAGAAACCTGCCTAGTTTGAAAGTGACTTCTTTGTGAACTGTGCCTTATATACAGTGGGTATAGAAAAGAATCACCCCCCCTTTAAAATAATCACATTTTGTTGCTTTGCAGCCTGAAATGAAGACGGACACGGTTTTTGTTTCATTCAGCGCTTATAGTGCAGACGCGATGTGGTGATTTGAAGCCATTTGCGCATTTTGCGAGAGAGCGCAGTGATTCACGCTGTTTGTGAAATGACGTCTCTCAGAAAGTTTTCAAATTACTTTGCAAGTTATTTAATAAAGAAATATGAATTGTACCTAACCTTCAGCATTATTAATTATTTTACCCATGCCGGACAGAGATTGAGATGATGCCGCTGCATGTCATGCCAAACCTCTCACGGCAAGCGCGTCGTCAGTTTGAGATCGGTTTATGAGATCGGCCTTTATAGAGACCGCCAATCAAACTTCCCAAAATGATTATCGGCCGATAGCAACCGGAGCACCCCTAAGGAATTGTGTGTGAGAGCAAAACATTTTCTGTGCAGATTTCACTCATGTTCAAGTTGGTCTTACGAATTCACTGGATTGATAAACCCCTGCTTGGTAAGTGACTACTTTGTGAGCTGACAACAGACCTTTTTTGCCGCAAAATCTTGCCAATGTGACCACGCATTTAGACTCACCTGTCCACTGACAAGCTGCAAGAGCGCTGTGTTGACGGGCAGCTGCTCGATGTCCGTGCTGATGGTGGTCTGGTCAAACGGGCAGGCCTTGCGGTGCAGTTTGTTCAGGCACATTTTGCACACGGTGTGGCCACAGCCCAGGCTGATGGGCTTGCGGTGGCTCTCCTCGAAGGTTTGCGTGCAAATGGGACACAACAGAAACTCGGTCCATTGCGGGGCTTGCACGGGCATTGTAGCGAAGCGCGGTCTGTGATGCACCGGTCCCCAAGATCTTCTCTTATTGCTGCATTTGTGTCTATGTGCGTTTTGCGTAAACCGATACAACAGTAAGTCCTAAAGGTTCCACTGGAACCGATAAAGCTTTTCCAAAGATCACGGTTCTTAAATATTTCCTGACATTGTGGGCGTTCAGCACATAGTGTGAAAAACATAACCTGAAAGACAAAAAAACAAAACACAAATGATCACTCACATCAGTAAATCCCAACATGCCAAATTATCTTGTTCAGCCATAAATTACTTAAAGGGATAGTTCACCCAAAAATGAAAATTTGATGTTTATCTGCTTACCCCCAGGGCATCCAAGATGTAGGTGACTTTGTTTCTTCAGTAGAACACAAACTGAGATTTTTAACTCAAACCGTTGCAGTCTGTCAGTCATATAAGGGAGGTGAATGGGAATCACATCTTTGAGAGTCAAAACAACATACACAAACAAAACCAAATTAAACCCTGCGGCTCGTGACAATACATTGATGTGTAAAGACACGAAACGATCGGTCTGTGCAAGAAACTGAACAGTATTTATATTGTTTTTTTCCTCTGATTGACTGCAATGTCCGAACTGTCCTGAGCGCGTTTGCGTCTTCTTGCTTTACGGCGGATCACAGACTTATAAGTGCATTACCGCCACCTGTCTCTCAAATGGACCATTGACACTATCTACAATCTCAATTAGGAGTGTCAATGGTCCATTTGAGAGATAGGTGGCGGTAATTCACTTATAAGTCTGAGATCCACCGTAAAGCAAAAAGAAGACGCGTCACGCACCGGCTGAAGAAGAAGACGCGAACGTGCTCAGGACAGTTCAGACATTGCGGTGAAAATCAGAGGTAAAAAACGATATAAATACTGT